AAATTAATAAAAATTAAATTTCAGCATACATGAGGGTAACACTTTTTACGATTTGTACGATTATTTTTCCAACACAACATTTTTTTTTATTAAAATTGTAATTTCTCTTATTTAAAATAGAACAACTCTCCCGGACGAAGCCTAGTAATTCGGCTAGTATATACAAAAAATAGTTTTAAACTTTTCATACGCAACTTAAAATTTAATTGATTCTGAAAAGTACTGCAGGTTCGGAATTTTATAATGTAACGTAAACAATTCGAGAAAAATTTACTTAATTTGAGTAAAAAAAAAAAAAAAATAAATAAATAAAATAAATCGTGTTTCTACTCGAAAAACAAAACTTGATGTTACTACGGGATACTCATTAAGATATGTGTATATATACTTATGTTCAAACACACACATTATATTAACGCAATGCGTTCTGCTGTCGTCGTTTACGATTTATGTGTGTACAAGCGGTTTTCGTAGCAAGTGTACTTTCGTACACACACGCACACGAAATACGAATGCGAGTTCTCTAGTATTTACATACTTCTATGATACAGGTATTTGTGCGCGAGCATAATATAATATTCCTTGCCAGACGGTCGACGACAAGTATTATAATAATCCTATGGTAATGGTAGTCGCAGTGGTATTCGCCATATTTTAATAGTTCGGATATACGTAGTGGAGACTAGGAATCGATAAATCGTGAAAAAAAAAAACAATTATTACTATTTATCATGATTATTATTCCTCTCTCCGCGTGTTGATTTCCAAAGTATCTACAACGTGTTCACCGCGATTTAGGTGTACGCAACGATTTCATATAATTTTATGTGCGACGATAAGTGGCAATCGTAGTCGTCCCGGAAACTCGAAGTAACGTTTATTATAGTATAGTTGTTGACATGACCGGCGGTTTTTGTTTTCGTTTTCGCTGTGACCTGTGAGCGGTCGGGGACCAGTGTAGGCACAACAGAATAATAATATTCTCGATACTTGATAATACTACACGTTCCGTCGTGTCATCTCGACCGGCCTATAAATAGAATCGCGCGACCGTTTTCGGGTTCATGGTGATGATCAAGGCCTTTATGCGGTAAAAAGTATTCAATATATATATATGTAAGTGAGTTAAAGAACTTCATAATATGCCGTACGATGTGCAGTGAAAATTTGGAAAATATACAAAAAATATATGCAATTTATTGAATAAAACACAATTTACATAAATTAGGTACATCGGAAAAAAAAATGAATAAAAAATGTAGAAAAATAATAAACACTGTCCATTCGTGTATTGTTGTGTTTTCCTGTTATACAACTGTATAGCTCAAGTGTATTAAGCTTAACTGTATAGGATAATTATAGCTTAAGCTATATACTCTTCATCAAACCTTTAATATTTTTTTAGTATAAATGTATACTGATAACGAACAATTCATATTATTGTACCATAATAATACCTTGGTAAATATAGACGAAAATAAATTCGTATCTGTTGCCGATCACTCTTACGATTTTTCAGTACAATAGTGATTATAATATCATTGTTAAGTGTATTGGGAACAATACTTAAATGGTCCTTGATGAATTCATTTGTTTTATTAAACGATAAAAAATTTAGAATTTTGGTCGTCACATATCTTATGTTTTTTGTTGTATTATAAATTTGTAAAAAAAAAACCCCTTTCGTCAAATCTATAAAATATAGGCATAAAAGTTATTAAGCCTAAAATATGCAAAGTCCTATAAAAAATAACGAAATATGCAAAGTTATGAAATAAACATTATTGTTTGAAATCTGTACGATACGGATCGAATTCCTATCGAATCAGAATTTCAATATGCATTTTCAAAACAAATATGCAATTGTCTTCGGTTCCGATCATTGGTGACGATGGTAACGCGCACGAGTTTTGACAATCAAACAGGTACGCACATAGATCAAGTCTGTCTCGGTTACGGTTATATGACGTTTCATCGCGAAACGCAAAGCGATTTCAGTGATAACCTTAGCGCTTTTTTAGCGTTATAATATTTATACTTTTTTTTACTCCATTTCCCGTAACACCACGTGTTTCATACATTTCTGATACAACATACGCATGTTTGCAGGTTATATTTGTTGTTATGATTTAAAAAAAAAAAAAATGCTCATCATTTATAGTCGATTTTATTTTTTATCACTCGTGGATAGAAATCCTTAGATTTAAATTGTATCCAGTGAAACTTCTTTATCGATTCATACGAATACGGATTTACATAAAAAAAATAAATACATAAATTTATAAGTATACAACCGATGTATCAGAATACGTATTGAAAACGAAGAGTCCCATCAATTGGAGAGTGAATGCTATAATCTGTTCGATGTTATTTCATATAAAAATAACTACATCCGAACGATGATAGAATGAAAGTGTAGTCGATCCTGCTGTTACATAGTTTGTAGATGAATCTAACATTCAGTTTTCTATACTCTATAGTATGAGTGTTACATGAAAATGCGAACCTATTGATTAATTACATTTCTTAATAAGGTTGAACTTTATAAAAAAAGGTTTAGTAGGTAGGTAAGTAAATGGCAATAAAATGTTATGTATTATCTGTAATTATAGTCGCTTAAAATTTGGAAAAAATCAACAATTTATTGTACCTATAATCAGCATAAGCTTCATTATGTTTTGGTGGAAATTATGAAATGTCTACGAAATGGCTCATAAAGATACTCTAAATATTTTTATAGAACAGTGCAACACAAAATATTAAGCGGTTAAAATCCCTGCTCCGGTTGATCGGAAAAACGTTGATAAATTCAATAAAATGGTCCCTTCCTTCAGAGTACAGACTAAAAATTGTTTTTCATCAGAAACTTACATCGAATGTGATGATCGGAGCAAACCTTCTGGTCGAAATCGGATACACAAACACGCAAAAACACACATCACGGTGAAAGCAATACATTATTTTCGTTTCTCTCAGAGCCTAAAAAATGTAAAATATTGTACATTGATATGAGTTTGAAAATCAACCGGTCAAATTGAATTGATTAATTTCAAATCAATAATCGAAATACGATTGGATTTCTTTAGACGGTCAGGGGTGGGGAGTTCACATTTTTCAACTTTCTCCCTTCAACGATTGCTTCTGAATACACTTGATATTTATTACATCAGTTGAAAATCTTGTATCTTATAGCCTGTAGGAACATAATGCGACGTACATACGCGCCCAAAGACGTAATGTCTACGTCTAGAGTAATCTCTACGGGATAGTTAGCTAGACAATGTGTTTATGGCCGCGATGCTGGACTCCCAGTGCTCGTCAATCTCGAAAAAATATATAATCATCGAACGAGAAACGTGATAATGTTTATTACATAAAGTATAAAATGTAATAATTAATTGTAAACATCTTGGCGTTGAACGATTGTCTGTATGACAGACGCAATGACAAACACGAACGTACCTGATAATGTTAAGATATTCTTAAGTTGCTTTTGGTCAAATGAAACATGTCACCGATGTTCTGCGCGTCCGTCGACATCGTGAGATGTTTCTCCTCCCGTCGTACAATAATGTAATCGATATTCGGGCCAACTTGGCTAAAAACGGAAAAAATCGTAAGCTTGTACAAAGAAGCCGTAACAGTTTAGTTAGTGTACGGCTTCAATCAATTGAACCTCTATCGAGTTATAAACATAAAAAACATTAATTTGTATCGATAAATATTGATCACTTAACTTTTTTTGTGTTAAGATTGTACAACAAACTTAAACTGTGTGGGTTCCTCTCATATTCGAATTTCCAATTAATTTTTTTAAATAGGTATTTAGTTATGTTTTCAATAAATGATTTCTATATTATATATTGAAATAGTTTATCGTAGTGTAATATTCCAAGTTTTTTTCTTAATAGCTTAAAGAACTGCACCACGAGGTAATATGCATACGAGTAATCAACAATTGACAAGTCAATGGGTCACGTTTCGACCTTCCTACATCAGTCGATACGTATTATATTATACGTATATTTTTTAATTCGTTTTGTAATATAATTAGCGATTGTTTTTTGTAACGGTTTAAAATAGTAAACATTATATTTGTTAAAAAAAAATGTAATTTAACTAGTGATTCTACTTTAGTATAGTTGAAATATTCATTATTTTCAACTGTTACAAGAAAAAAAAAACACTTATTATAAATATGATACTACAAAATTTGTTAAAAGTTAAAAAATATACAGTGTATTTCACCCATATGGTAACACGAAACCTTTCTGTCTATTGGCCTTGGATTGAAATGGGTTTTACAGATGGATGGGTATATGGAGAACTGAAATGCACATTTTTTTATGCTTTTCAAATTTCTAACCCCTTCAGTATGCGCTTCCTCATAAACAACTTTAGCTTCTTTAAAATAGCAACAACCATTTTTATTACCAGATTCGGATAAGCCAAATGTTTTTAGACTATTTTCTTATCTCGAAAATTGGCTGATTTACAGTTATTGAAAGTTGAGACAAAAATATATATCTGGTGTTAATTACAGACATTTTAAAAACCGAGCAAACATATTTTATGTTTCATATTTCACTTGTTGTTAATCAGCCGATTTTTGAGATAGGAAAATAGTTTATCTGAGAAAAATGTTTTAAAATATTTGATCCCACCGAATCTGGTGTTAAGAATGGCTGTTGCTATTTTAAAGAAATGCAGGTTATTTATGCACACGCGCATACTGAAAGGATTAAACATTTGAAAACGATAAAAAAATGTGTATTTCAGTACTTCCTATACCCCTCCCCATGTAAACCCCATTTAAATGCGAAGTCGCTAGACCGAAATGTTTCGTGCTACCGTACGAGTGAAACACACTGCATAATACAATACACTTGATGGACGTACGAATCGCCGAATCGTGACTGTTCGACTCGCCAATTGTTGCTTATGCTTGTGCTATATAAACTAATAATAAACAGTAATTTTTTATAAAAAAAAAAAGTGTTTCAGTGACCAATCAATGCGTTAACGGATGGATAGAAAGTTCGGACTTTTTGACACCGAATACAATCGACCCAGATCGTTTTTCTTTTGACACGAACTTCGTCTTCGAGTAGATAACGGGCTTTTTGCAATTCCAAATGGGCGGTTTTGGATTTCTTTATCTCTTCGTTCATCGAGTGTAGTTGCAAATCAAGTTTATGGAGTTCCGAAATCAATCTAGTTTAACAAAAAAAAAAAAAAAAAAATTGAACACGTGCCTACATTTATGGTTTATGTATTTAGGTTTTCCACTACCTCAGTTGCGCTTTGTCATCGCAGTTCTGTTCTGCTCCCGGACGTTTCAGTCGATTGTTCAATCTCGATTCGGCGACCATTTTTCCCTTTTCTAAATTGCTCATTATGTGGAGAAGATTTGTAATTATTTTTTCGGAATCTGCTAATCGATTAACCACCTGTTGGAAAGGAATGTTAATTATTCCATAAAACTGATACTAGTCACATTCCATCCTATCCATAAGCTCGTCCAATTTAAAATCAATCATTACAATCATTTGTCTAATCGTTATACAATCAGATTTTCAAAACTAGTGCCTCAAAAATGTATACATCTATTACTCTAAATAAAAACGTTGTAGATAGTTCTCATAGTTGTTATACATACAAATAATTCAAGGAGGACAACCATTATTGATCGATAGTTATCATAGATATAAATAGTTATTTGAATACTAAAAACCAATTTCCTATTTATGTATCCGTGTTTTTTTTTTTTTTTTTTATCAGGTATCAATAATAATGCTATTTATCGTAATGGAGTTTTTTTCATATTATAATTTTCGAATTTTGTTTAAAATCATAAAAAGTAATTACAAATGATCAGATTCAGTTGGTTTTTAATGAAAAATAAAAAAATATAAAATTACATTAATTTATTATTTATCATATGTTTTTTTTTTTTATTTATTTTTATTCTTCAATATTAAAAAGGATTCGCTGTCGCCTGAGAAAAAGCCTAGGTATCTTGTGTTAGTTGATGATTTAAAGCGTCTGTGTTTTTGAAGAGCTTTTTCGAAGTTTGGAGTTTTAGATGGAAGTTTCTAAATTATATTTTGGTTGAGTTTCTAAGAGCGGTTTACCAGTAAGAATTTACCTATGTTATAGATAGGTACTATAGTATACGGTAGGACTAGGACATTTATAACAGATTTAAAACAGTTTTATAAAGGTTGTTAATTTTTATAAATTGTTGAGTGCTGTAGTTATTTGGTGAACTATTTTTATACACATTTGATACGATTATTTGGTAGTTGGTTTTCGTTATTTTTTCGACAAACAGTTTATATTCGAATAACAAGTTTTCAACATTTGATTCAGCGCCTTAAAATGATAATCAGACGATTTTATGATCGAAATTATTCAATTACTTGTTTCAGTTCATTTTCCATCGTTAATCTAACATTATGTGTGTCAGATATCGTCCGCGCCAGAGCTGTATCAACTGCATCAGCTTGATCTCTTAAACTTTTTGAACTACTTATGAGCACATCATTGAGTATATTGGATCTAAATAGCGCTGATTCTTTCAAGGATTGTTTAGCATCTACTGTCCAATCATGTGAAGGTCTTTCCATCAAAAAACCGGACAAACAAGTGCTGTGGTGAAATATTGTAAAAATGAAATACACATTTTATAAAACGCGTTGAGAATTTACAAATCTTAAGAATAATTCAAATAAATAATAGTAAATAAATGATTATAGTTACGAGTGGTTTTCGGACTTATTCAGATAAATTCATCTGGATGAATTATCTAGATAGTTATTTATTTATCTTTTATCTTATCTATACTATACTACCGAGGAAAAAAAAAATCTAGATATATATCTATAAAATATCTTTTGTATTAGATGAATATTTTACTAATCTAGTTAGATTCATCTAGTACAGTGGTTTTCAAACTGGGGGTCACCAAAATTAATGGATAAAATGGTTTTTCCATATTATTTAAAAAAAAAACAGTAAATTATTTATTTTGTGAAATTCTTAAGTGTTAATTAATCAAAATTGTTTATTATGTAAATATTTTATCGGTAATTAAATCAAAATTATTTTTTGAAGGGATCACATTACACAAGAAGAAAAAATGTGGGGTCGCATCCGAAAAAGGTTGAAAATCACTGATCTAGTACATTTCGATAACCAGAATTTCGCAAACAAATTGATCAAATTTTTATTTATATTCTCAATCAAAGTTTATAAGATAAAAAACATAAATAATACAATTCACAAAATTTTTAACAATTATGTAATTTTTTGCAAGCGGATAAAAATAGTGTTTATTGTTTATAAATAAAAATTGAAAATTTACGAGTCATAGAATTGACGCTTGCAGTTGTCGATATACCTAGTTATTAGGTATTCATACAATTTAGTTAGGTTAGGCTAGGTGAGGTTAGCATAAATTAAATAGTACACAGTAAATATTATTTATAATTTAAATAATTATTTATTATAAAAATTATAACGCGATTTTTAAATGATAGTTATTTTATTTATAAAAATATGTTATTCATTTTTATGTGTTCTTTATTAAATAAATAATAAATTTTATTATTTCACTAACAAATAATAATTTAAAAATCCTAAAAAAAATTATTTAACATATAATTTATATTCGAGCTATATAAGTTTACTATATCACCGTAAAAAAAGAGAATGATTATATAAATAAAAAAATACTATTGCGTTAGGTTTGTACTAATTTAAAAATTGTATTTATTTTTTTTAGATAAAAAAGTGTTTATATATGTAAATACGAATTTAGTTATTATTTATCTTTGTCTGAATAAAAAAATTACTCTTCCGATCGATCCGATCGTCCGTTACTCCCGGATCGGATCAGAACGAAAACGAATTTTTTCCGCACACTGTGTCAGAACTAGTCGGAATCCTGCAGACATATACTATATACTTGGCCATTTTGATCTCATCGCTCAAGCTCGACAGTCGAATTAAAGCTTATTGTTATATTATTTATTTTTAATATTTTTGAGTGTTAGTAAAATATAATGAATGATACAAGTAGTGTCGAAAAAGACACGATATTCACACTAGCTCTTTTGTCAGAAGTCGAAGAAACAGAAAAATATACGATAAAAATAGGGTGAGTTCATAGCATACATATGACAAGGGAAAAAGAAGGAGAGTTCTGTACACTATTCCCGCATTTAAAACAGGTCAATAAACATTTTTTTTCAACATTTCCAGGTGAGTATACGAAAAATGTGGCCAATTGTTAGAGCATATGAAACCTAAGTACAAAACGATGATGATCAAAAGTTAGCACGTATATTTCGCACTAACGCAAAGTATCAGTGCGCATGCGTACGCTTCGGAATCCGTAAAAATATTATTGGCAAACAGTTCGGTCGCGTTCCGGTCCGATCAATCCAGTGTGCGGGGGACTTTATTTAAAATTATTTTTATTAGTTTTTTCCGTCTCGTTCCGATCCAGTGTGCGGTAACCTTAATCCGAACACCGGTTACGAGTTTACACACGTACCACTCCGTTTCTCCCACCGCTTTAGTGTGAGGCATAATATACGGCGATTTAATGTTCAGAGTCAAATTAACGGTGTCCACGTCGTACGCCTCTTTCTTATTGCTCCAATTGATTTCGAGTAAATTCTTCAACCTCTTGAGGTGTCCAACTTTTTCTGTTATCTGGCACAGTGTGTCGCAGAACAAAGCGCGGATTTCTTGGATCAATTGTTTTTCCTAGAGGGGAAAACAACGTACCGTTTTACGGCGGCCATCGTGCAACGCACGGTTGGGACGGCGCGACCCGGGGAACAGAAAACCGTACCTTTACCAGCTCCACCTGCGCCTTGTCCAGCGTAACGTCCTTGTCCAATTTGAGCGATCGAAGCGCCAGGCATTCGGTGCACACAGAGAACACCAGGGCCAAAGCCTTTTGCGCTCTCTCGATTCGCGTTTTGCTCGCCATCAGCGCATCGATTTCGTTGCTAATCAACTCCAACGTCTCGGAAATGATCGCCATCCGATAGTCCGTGTACCGTGCTTTCGCCGCAATCTTGTTGGTACTGCCCAACGCGTATCTGTCCGCAACGGCGGACGCCATGTTGGTCGTGCGCTGCGCACTGTACTCGGCCCTACGCGATTCACACGTTTTTATTCGACGGATTACAAAGTGTTCCACGCCAGAACAGCGCGATTCCGATCCCGAACACCCTTGTTTAGTCTAGTTAGGTCCCAGTTTTTTCAAGGGTTACACTAGCCGCGTCTCACGATTTTACCAGGACTACTCTATTCGGGCCTACACAAAAACAAAAGTTTCGCTTCTCGTTTTTACAGACTTAGGACTGTCAGTCACCTATAAAATTTCTGATACATGGTACATAAATTATTAATTGAAAATTAGAATACTCTGGTATATGGTTGGATAAATAAATAAAATTATTAAAAAATTTAATAGCTTACACGATTGGTAAAAATTTAAACGCTAGAGCTTTTACAAACTCGAACCTATTTTGACATTATCAAGTGTATATTTTATAAGTTACAGATTTTACCGTCGCAGTGGTCGGACCGAACTAGTATGTTATTGTTTTTACTGTCGGGCCGTACTCGTATGACACTGTTTTTTTAATCGAACCCAATTAGTTGTATTATCTGGGACTCGATTCCAAGATACGCCCCGCAATTGATCAGTTGACATAAACTTACACGTTCATCTGCTGTAACCCTCGATGCGATCGTCCGAGCAATGCCTGGTTGTGTTCGCGCCATTGGCTTAACGAATAATAGCTGACCCTCGGCTTATTTTGCGGAGTTCCCGTTATAGAAATACACTTACAAATCGTATTATCGCATGGGTCTTCGTGTTTACGATTTGTATCATCGTACACCAGTTTTATGTTACTGAGGGTGATATGTTTTCTCGGAGTGCAGTGACAAACATCTCTTTTCTTTGCTAATACTGGCTTCATTTTGCGCGTTTTCTCGTTATAAATTTTGAATTTCAAACGTGTTATGTTTCGATTTTGATTTTGAAATGTTATGCTATTGCAATGTTTCCAGTTGTGTTGATTACTAGTGGCATAGTAACGTTAATATAACCAATGGTTTTGGAGTATATAGATAATCGATTATCAGAATGTGTTTTTGTATTTGGCCTCTACAATTTCCTCTGCCGATGGACGGCAGTGTCGTGCGACAAGCAAATATTTTTTCTGTAAACGGCGCCGTCAACATAGTACGCGTGTTGGAAGTGCGTACATCGGAATCTTTGGGTTACACGGACATTATCATCTCGAAAAATTCGGATATTCCTAACGGTTCATTGCGGTACAACGGATGCGCAACCTGGGGGTCGAAACTCCTAAGGGAGTCCACAAAAATTTAACTCGTATATTAAAAAAATTTATGAAAACTAAAGTCTGGCCGTTCTATCCGGCTGATTTTCTTCATTTTTTTTTTTTTTTTTTTTTTTTTTAATGAAAGATATTTAGACACAGAATGTCAACAATCATTGAAATGTACCCAACTCCCACCAACGCGATTCTATTCTGTACATTTTTTATGGGACACATTCACTCAAGTAACATTCGAATTCTCTAGCTCCTCTTCTAATGAATGCATCTTGATCGTTTCACTCAAAGAACACTCAGTGGATCAAGATCTTTCCTTTGATTTATGAACTGCTTAAATTCATTCATTCGTTGAGTTTGATGAAAGTAATGTGCGCACAATCAATTTTACTTTCAATTTTTACCAAATACAGCATTCTCATTGACTTTTACCCAGTCATATATTAACAAACAACTCACAAACAATACCAATATTATTACTTATATTAGCTAATATTATCTGGAAGGAAGCACTGTAAAATGATTTTATGTAATAATTACACCCTCTCATGCATAGTCTATCCTAATGCTGCAGAGCATTTCCGGTACACAACTCATCGGATTTACACAGTCGATGTACGGTTGTAGACAATAATTGGGCTTGGTATTTTTATTCTATTGGTATTAATTTGTAGAGAAAATCGCCTGAAACTGATCTCTAGTAAAATTTACCGTAAATCCCGATCAATCATGTTATCCGAAGCACGAAAATCAGTCACATATTTCAACACTTGTTCAAGAAATAACCTACGCGAGTCGAGCTCATGGTAGGCATTTATTGAAATGAATGAAATTTTTCTATAGACGAGTTTAATGAATTTCAAAACCGTTTTACTGCTGCAATTTCTTCGTAAGACAGCGAATACGAACTATATATACAATTCGCAAGCGTTACATTTTCCAATACACATAGACACGTTTCGGTATATTTTTCTTTGTTAGAAATGCAAAATCTGATATTTGTACTTGACAATAAGCGTACGGAGTTGAAGGTTTGGTTGGCATGATTTGGTTGATAAAAAAGCCACCCAGTAGTAACACTTTTTAGTCCTTGGTATTAATAACGAACTAATTTCGACACATGACGTCTCCTTTATGAACATAACCGTCTAGATTTGTTTCCGAGGACATAATATTTGAACCGAGTTCTGTGACGTGACGGTTTGGAATGTTTGGATGATTGGCGAAGGGGCATCGGAATCGTTTATAGATGATTGATGCAGTTTTGGTTTTGGTGTTTACGTGTAAAGTGGAATGTGTGGTATGAGACGTGGACAAGTACACCCATTATGAAATGGAGAGTAAAAAAAAAAAAAAAAAGTAGTTGGTCGGAATGCTTGGATTTTTTTTGAATACTTGACAGATTCAACAAATCGGTCCCACTAAATAATTCAATGGTCCGCCGTCGTGGACGAAATAATCGATCGATTTCGAAAGTATTAATAGATTAAAATTATTCTCTAAGTGGAATATTCAACGAGCGAAAAATAAAGGCTGTGGTAAAAATTGATTTTCATATACGTGACAATATTTGAACTATCACACTTGGAATTTTACGAATTGATAATACGACAGTTTGACATGAATAATGATATGTACAATTAGTAGTAGTCCGTATATGGATCGATTTTTTAAAAATTTATTATTACCGTTTATATATATCTAAACATAATCAACAAACTAAATCCGTAAAATAACAGCACAGGTGACAACATAAATTCTAAATGCCTGATGTGATCTGTGATAATACTTTGTCGGTTGTGTAATATTATATAATTTTTTATAAATACACGTAAATTACGTAAAACGATTTCTAAATTCAGTGTAAAGAAAATAAATGATATTATTGTTTTTTTTAAAGAATGAAAACCTAGAAATAATTTATATTACTCTGCAAAAAAACGAGTATATTAAGCCCAAGTAAGTTTGAACTTTTCACAATACAAACGTATGTCCTAGACAACAATTGGCAATGTAATTTAGTAATTGAAAGGTGTAGTTTTTTTTATTATACTTAATTTCATACAATTACCTAATGTAGTTTTGGAATCACTTCAGTTTTTAATTACGATTCGTTCGATTTTCCATTATAATTTTTCCAGTTAAAATCGATCATATTAAAAACTATTTTGCTGATACTGTATAACTCGAGAGAAAAATCGAGTATATGTGGTGGTGTGCGGACGTGGTCATCGATTTTACGAACATGGTTAAGAAATCAGCTTGCATCTCTACCACGACTATAATATACGATGTGTTTACGTTTTACGATCATCTACAAAACACAGTAGTACATAATTGTATTTATTATCTCTGAACCACAAATCCTTAAAAAATATTATTATCGCGATTAATTTCTAATACAATGCCCTCAAGTGATTTAATTTTTTAATTTTTTATGATCGACAACGTTTCGAGAGAAATATAACTAGCGCGCGGGTTTTAAACTTTTAAGTATTATTGCGTTTTTATTACGCGATAAATTTACTATTCGCGTAGTTTCACCAACGATATACGTTGTTTCGTTAGGAAATTGATGTTTGCGTATTTATTTTTCGTCCTCCGCTCGGTCGTTACAATCTTACACTATCGTCAAAAATCCGCCGACGAATTCAATAACGTCGTCGTAATAGTATATAGGTAACATGTCGCTAGTGTTTGGTCAAATCAGCCGTTGCACTAAGTACCTGTCGGCAAAGGGACAATGAATTTAATTCCTGTGCCGTTCAATTATTCGCCGGGGTATATAATGAAATTAACTGAATATGCGTATTGCCAGCTTGACAAGTATTAAAAACCGAACATATTTTATGATACATCCTTATTAATTACACAAGCGATTATTGATCGTTATTCTAAATCGAATTTTAAAAAATCATACGATTAAATACTCATAACCGAACGTTATGAGAGTAAAACACCCGTTTTAAAACACTCTGAAAGAAAAAACACGCGCATTCGATTTTCCAACAGTTTTCCTGATGTTCGAAGAAAACAGTCTTGTGCAATGTTTACCGTCTGTGTTTTGCGTTTTACGAACTTTTGTTATTGGATTGCGCGCAGCTCTTCGCCGTGATCGATCATAAAACTGCGGCGATGCATTTAGTTGTTCTTGAAGTGTAAACATAACAATATTTCTAAATTTGTCATCGCACACGTGTAATATAGATCATTAGGTTTAGTAAAACATAATACAATACTGATAATATTGTACTTTCTTTTCACAAATCAACGCGATATTTTCTGTTCGTTTAATGGCATTCGACCGAATCGTTTCCGGAAAATTCAATTATTCGTTAATCGAATCATTTCTGAACAAACCGACGCCCTGTGTTAGGGTAAGGGCAACGGGTTCACTTCGGCCCCCGTAAAAACGCTGTCCCGTCGCTCGTGCACGACGTACGTACAAGAACGGATATAATGTTACACGAGTAGGTGGGCGCACGCGATCGATGAGATTTTTATAATACGGCGCGCGAACCCCCGTGCCTACATCGACGGCGATCGTTGAGCCTAAAGTGTTCATAAATCACGGCGGTGTAATGTTTAAAAGTGCCTGTTTATTACGCGCTCGGCGGGCGGCGACGGAAAACGTTTACTTTTTTCGGTTTTTTTTTTATTATTAATTTTCGTTTTATTTTTCGGAACGAAATAATATCACGCGCCACCGAACCTTGGAGGAGGATCCGGTACGCGGAGAACGTGTTGTACG